GTTGGGTGCTGGATAGGGGTTCATTATTGGGAGCTAGAAAACCACCAGGAACCAAAGCTTCAGTCATATTACCAAAGAAGTGCCTCGAATGATCAAACTTACCAAATCATGCTTGAGAAACAACTCCACATCAATCTGGCGGACTGGCCCTTCGATGACCGTTCCAGAAATCATCCCCTGTTCACTCACTGCCGGAAGAAGGGTCCAATGGGATCACTCGGTATATCGTTTATCGCGCACGGTCTGAGAACCACGTTTCGCGTAACTCCGTTTTTGAGCGGAGTCACGGCCAACCACACCGCTTTCGTCTGCAAGTGAACAGGTGTTATCAATCAGTCGAGTCGGATGAATGAACACAGAGAATAAGAACAACATACCAATGAATACAAAGCATTCAGGAGGAATTCCGGCGACCTGAAGCATAAACTCGGTTCTTTCCTCAAGTGATTGGTTTGGATGAACTCCTCGAGTGATCAACAGGGATAAACCTAAGCGGGTGTGGATCGCTCGAGTGATGGTGGCTCGAGATATGTCTAAACCGGTTAAATCGCGGAGCTCTGATTGCAATTCGTCCAAGTAGATCAACGGTCGATCAACCACAAGGTCGTAAAGGATCACTAGGTTGGCGTTAGACAAAGTCAGGGGCCTTCCGCGAACCTCGTATGTTGCTGAATCCGCGATGACACGGGTTGTGCGAAGGAAAAGTCGTTTCCAGCGGTAAATTGAAACTGGGGAGATAGTTGTTCGCAAGCGCAAATTGATCTCCTCAAGGCTCACGCGCTCCACCGCCAGCTGAGTCGCGAGGAGCTTGATGGCCTCGGAGTAAACTTGAAAGGCCATGTTTGAGCGTACACTGGAACATGGAATCGGGATGGAAGGAATATCAAAAAATGGATTACGGAACAATGAGCTCGGTACGACGAGAGGGAGAAAGGGTTCACCCCAACCAAAACAGAAAAACTGCAAAAAAAAGCTTGCCCAAAAAACGATGGAAAAAAAACACGGTCGAAAAAAAGGGATGATGATCAGCACATCATTGGAGGATGTGCTGCAAATCCTCATCCGAGATGAGGTTTACCCTGGTTCACCATGGGTAAAAAAACCGGTCGGCCAGTTTTTTTTTGGGCCCAGGGCTGCACTGTGCACGGGCCAGGGGTTGATTTTTCAAATTCTGGATTTCAACCTTTTTGAAACCTACTGTACAAAATAAAAAGTTACAACACACATGAATAAGAAATCTTCACCGCCACTCTTGCCACCCAGACCCTACATACGATAACATTTTAAAGAGAAATTCGATCAGATTGAAAAACAAAAGTAAAAAGTTGTAAGAAATCCAAATCCAAATCCAAATCCAAATCCAAATCCAAATCCAAGCTAGTCTTGCAATCGATCGATCAATCAATCAAATCAAACTAAATTTTCATCAAACTGCAAACGATCATTGGAAATTAAAAATCAAAACAAATCAATCACAAATTGTAAATCTGATAACAGTCATCTCATCTCAAGAAATCAAAATGGAGTGATCAAATCCAACTCAAGACTGCAAATGAAGTGTGATTGATTCAATAACTTTCTTTCATGAATCACGATCAAATCAGAC